CTCCCCTGTTCTCTGCTGCTCCCCTGTTCTCTGCTGCTCCCCTGTTCTCTGCTGCTCCCCTGTTCTCTGCTGCTCCCCTGTTCTCTGCTGCTCCCGTTCTCTGCTGCTCCCCTGTTCTCTGCTGCTCCCCTGTTCTCTGTTCGCCCTGTTCTCTGTTGCTCCCGTTCTCTGCTGCCCCAGGGTTATTTTGGAGTGCAGCGTGCCCTGGTGGAGAAGCCAGTGTGTGGCTGTGTGATGTAGGGGTGCGGCCCGACCCTGGCGGGCGAGTGGCTCCCTGTGCTCCTGTCCGCAGGACACCTGTTCCTGATGACTGTGGCAGGCATTCTGTCCAAGGTGTGCCCACCCGCGCTGGCATCTGCGCCAGCTCTCTCCTGCCCACTTTGCATCCACTGCACTTCTCAGTGCCCCTTGGAATCCCAGTGTGTGGCCCTTCCACCAGGCCTGCTCGTGGGCCCAGCCCCACTCTCTGCCTGGACCCCTCAGCCTCCAGCTGGCTTGGCGGTGCAGTCAACCCTAAGCCCCACCATGCCGAATCCCAGGGAACACCCTCCTCATGAGAGGAGCGGTGGAGGAATGCAGAGACCTTCGTGGAGAGGACCTCCGGGATGTTGGCACCATCTGGGCAGGGTGGCTCGAGGTCACAGGGAGGGGTCTGGGCCCCTCCTCTGGGGGCTGCAGCGGGCAAGCCCTGCGCACTCGATGGGAGCCCGGGGGAGTGCTGGCATGAGCAGGGTCCTGCCTGTCCTCCCGGGCCTCAGACTGGGGTCCTGGGTGGGTTAAGGTGATCCACAGGTGTGCGAGCTGGGGTAGACTAACCCCTCCCCAGTTCCCCCTTCCAGGCACCGGGGAGGACAGCAGGGCCTGAGAAGGGGCAACAGGGAGGCAACCAGGAAGCAGCCCAGGCCACCAAGGTGAGGAACCACAGGCTGGAGCTGTGGAGGGTCCTGAGCTGTGGACTGTGGACGGTCCTGAGCGGTGTGCTGTGGAGGGTCCTGAGCTGTGGGCTGTGGAGGGTCCTGAGCTGTGGGCTGTGGAGGGTCCTGAGCTGTGGGCTGTGGAGGGTCCTGAGCTGTG